CACCTGGAGATCATGCACAGAACCTCATCCTGTCCATCCACCTACTTGTGGTCCTACCCCCGTCTAAGCTTCCTCCTCTCTCTTACCCCATCACCTACCCCTGAGCTCATTCTTCAGGCAATAATTTTTCTTGATTCTACCTCCTAAATACCTCTCAGTTCTGTTCGAGACTTTCTATTTCACTGCCAGCACTCTTCCTGGCCACATCCATCTCTTGCCTCCATTGCTACTCTTGTCTCTGGTCTCACACTGTTTTCCATGCAGAGTGAACTTTTTAAAAATGCGAATTTATTTGTATTACCTGTGCTTTAAACCCTAAAATGACTTTCTATTTCCCTTAATATGAAATCCAAGCCTATTGCATAATTACTACTTAAATGTCTCCTTTTTTCCTACTAGATTCTAAGCTCCATGAGGATCAGGATTTTTTTTGTTCTTTGTTTTTTGGTCTTTTGTCTCCTGTAAAGGAGGTCTGGCCTATTGCATGTGGCCTGTAATTATTTATTAAATGAATGGATTATCTCTGCAAAAATCTCTGCAAAGCAAGCTTTTATTTCTCTGCTTTGGACTATTGGAATAAATTTTCTTCCCCCACAAACAAGTTTTCTACTCATAATTGACCAAAATTTCATGAAATATATACACTGATTCTGTCAAATCTTATCCACTTCAGCTAGTACTGACTCATCTGTACTTTTGTTTCTGACAAAAACAAATGTATTCTGAACAGTAAAGTGGAAAAACAGTGGAGAAGAGAGAACTAGGAAATAGGAGGACTTACCTTTCAGGTTGACACACAGGAAGAGACAGCAAACCTGCAGTAGAGATTAGTACCTGCAATAGGGGTGGAAGGAAAATGGTCTCATGGGCACAGGAATCAACATTTGGAAAGGAAAGAGCAGAGGAAAAGAACATCGCTTTTCTATGGCTTGGGCACTGGCTGTGAAATGTTTTTAGAGAATGGTCAAAGAAGAAAAATGTGTCATCTTAGAACATGGTGGTCATTGTGTTCAGGGGAATGGGAGATTTTCCATGGCCACACCCAATCCCGGTGGTCACAGTCACCATCATGATGTGTGCCCAGTTCCAAAAGATATATCAGCAGCCATTTAGAGAAGTACAAGAAATTTATCTGATCCTGGGAAGACACAACCTACAGTGCAAAGACATCAGGAAAGATTAAAGGTGGTAGCTTGGGCTTTCTTCTGTATTTAATTTGCCCAGTCCTCAAATAATGAGGTTTAGTCCCAAAGGACTCATTCTGTGTGTGTGTCACTTTTCAGACCCGGACATTGGAGCTGCTGTTCTCTTCATCAAGGCAGAGGAGACCAAGCAGCAGATAAACAAACTCAACAGTGAGGTATGGAGCTCTTTCTTTGGACATGTTGGAGCAGTAAGAGGAAATATAAATCCTAGTTATCAGCAGAAGCAGCATGATATAGCAGTTACAAGCATGTGCTGCAATGTCAGACCTCCATAGGGGAGTCCCCACTCAGCCTCATACAAGTTGTGTAACCTTTGACAAGTTACTTACCTTGTCTCAAGCTCCATTTCCCTATGTGCAAGAAAGGGATAATAATAAAGCCTGCCTTATGCCTTTTTGTGAAATTAAATGAGATAATCCAGGTAAGTCATTTGGCCTAAAGTAAGCACTATGATAACTATTGTCATAATTGTATTGATGTTTGATTTAATTGGTGCTTTTCGATTTTTTTGTGTCCTTCAATTTTTAACGAGGTAAAGCAAGATGATTGGACCACAGAAGAATGCTAGTTCTCAAAGTAATCAAATGGCCTGAACTCTGTTCTTTGCTCTGATACATATTTGCTGTGTAACTTTGGGCCCTGTATCTCTCTGGATCTTACTATCTGTGCATTTAAAATGCTAGTTCTCAAAGTAATCAAATGGCCTGAACTCTGTTCTTTGCTCTGATACGTATTTGCTGTGTAACTTTGGGCCCTGTATCTCTCTGGATCTTACTATCTGTGCATTTAAAATGAGGTAATTGTTTAACAACTTTACTGAGGTATATTTACATCATAAAATTCACCCATTTTAAGTGTACAATTCAATGAATTTTAATAACTTTATCAAGTGGTTCAATCATCACTATAAATCAGTTTTAGAATATTTTTATCTCCCTAATAAGATCTCTCATACCTATTTACAGTTAATCCTTAATCCCACATCCAGCCCCAGGCAGTCACTTATTTCCTTTCTGTTTCTATAAATTTGTCTTTTCTGGCTGTTTTATATAAATAGAGAAATTAATAATAAATAATCATAAACTGTGCTAATTTGGGTCCCTCCCTCCCCCCAAAATAAAATAAAATAAAACAGATTCTGATATAATTTGAATGCAAATAGTTTATTTGGGAGGTGTTCTGGGAAGCAAGATGAAAGAGTAGAGAAGTGAGACAGAAAAGGAAGGAAAGAAATAAGGGCATGTTAATGAGATAGTTAAACTTGTGGACAGCTGGGGCTCAGTACTGTTGGGGACCTCTGAGAGACTGTGGAGGAACTCAAAATTGTTGGGCCGACCCCGTGGCGCACTCAGGAGAGTGCAGCGCTTGGGAGCGCAGCGGCACTCCCCTCGCGGGTTCGGATCCTATATAGGGATGGCCGGTGCNAAAAAAAAAAATTGTTTCACCAGAGGACAAGAAAAAGTGGACTTAAGGATCTTTTTGCAAGCACAGGGGCAGAAGAGACTAGAAAGGTTCCTCAGGCAGGAATGTGCAGGAAGACCTGGGCCTATCATTGGTGACCTCAGGTAGACCTAGAAAAGGGCGTGTGAGCAGGTACAGACAATGTACTAAAATCCCCTTCTAGGACTAAATTTTTAGATTATCTGATGCCATCCTGGGAGAAGATGTAACTATGTGATGATATTGATGAGACTTAAGAAAAATGAGATTCATATAACCACACTCAGCTTTCAGTTAGCTGTAATAACAGACAACTGGGTAGTTTGTCATAAAATCCACAGGTTGCTCTTGAACCTGTGTTTCTTTTGCTTATAAAGATTTATTTTTTACTGCCATCTCTCCTTCTGTACCTCACTCCCTGGAAGTGAGATTGTTGCTAACAAGAAGTAAGAGAGCCCAAGGGCAAACTAACAATACAGAAAAGGAAAAATTAGAGGGTCCACTAACTGAATTAAAGTCCTTAAATCACAAGGACTTGGCCATACATTGGATCACCCAAATAACCTCATTAAAAATACACCAAAACAAAAGGTAAACTAAACACCCTGTTGGAGAACATGACATTAACCTATTGAAGAATTTCTCTCCAGATATTATTCTCAGCTAAAACCACCCGCGTTAATCCTATTTGAATTCTTCACCTTTACATTTAAGAAGAGCATTTAATGGTTTTAAGAAATTATTTACCTATATCTTAGCTCAAATATTACAGTTAGTGATTCTTCTGGGGAAAAAAGAAGTGTTTATATCTTCACCTTTTTGAATGAAGATAATTTTTCCAAGTTAGGGCTGTAAAACCCCACACTGTATTATTTTTCTTCGGCAGTATGAACCAGAGGTAGATTTGTTTAAACAAATAAACATTTGAAAAACAAAATATTTCTCCAGTGTGATTCTGTATTCATGATTGCTTTTCTAGTGAGATGACATAAATCTTTGT